GAGGAGGAAATAATTCGTTTGCCATTTTCCTGTTATAGACTGCTTCTATGCATTCAGAAAGAAAAGGAAGGAACTTAAATGATGCTCTTAATTAAACTTGAAAGAATTACAATAAATTACTTTTTATGTAAAATTTACGTTAAAAATGTATGTGCACTTTACATTTTTGCTTCTGTTCTTTTTAGTGTAGCATGGTCTTTGATAAGCATTGACTTTGAGTATCCTGCCAGTGTGTTCAGACACAGTTGAGCAGAAATGAAGCGGTACCAGGGCTCTGCTTCATGAGGAATTGGCATGGTCAAGAAGAGAGGTTTTCTTCTTTTCCTTTGAAAGTAGCAAATGAGTTGGCAGTTGCCAGCCAAGATTTAGCAATAGATGTTTTAAAACAGGGACTGAGACTCTCAGAATCAAAGCAACAGCCAGTGAAGATGAAGGGAATTGAGTCTATTAGTGCATGAGAAAAGCAACTGGAGGGAGTTTAAGACAGTGTTAACTAGTTACTGTTAACTGAGAATGCTGAGGGAAATGAGAGGAAGAATGAGAATGATAGTGGAAAGAAGTACTGATAGCTGGCAGATACTGATCCTCGTGATTTTGGCTTAAAGGAAAAAGATGATAGGAGGGAAGATTTACTCCCATGAACTGAACTGATGACAATAAGAGCAAAATTTTTACCCCTGGTGTAATTGTGGGCGTAATCTTGAGCGCTCAAGTGAAGCACTAGCAGTTGATGCTCGTTTCAGGGTGAGTGAGTGGGAACCTAGCTGCTGCCTCTTCCTGATTGTGGTGTTTTGTTAGATGCTGTTGTGCTGCTGAAAATTGCTGGAGCCCTTTGGAAATCTCTCTTGGAGGCCTGTTTGCTGCTTCTTGTAGTTAGAATTTCTGAGTTAGAACTTTGTGACAGATCTGGCCATCTGGAGCTATGTGGCTGAAAAAGCCGTGCTATAAAAAAGCAAAGCCTTCTTATGGAGCTAGGTGTGGGTGCTGTTTCGATTTCAAATTGCTTCTATACTTAAGTCTTAGCTAAAAGAGAACTCCAGTGAATATTTCTGTGTTTGTTGTGGTAGGAAAAGGTCATCTTCTTTCATGAAAACCTAAAAATCAAAGGAGAGCTTATTACAAGGTATGGTAAGTGACAGTGCTGACACACTCACTAACTAATTCAAAACACATGGTTTATAACTGCTTTTTAAACTACAAGCTATTCTAAAATTTTATTTTGACTCTGTAATTGTGAGGTGGCTCAAAGAGCAGTGTGTGGCTTAAACCTATAGTTGCAAATGTTGACTTTACAAAGCTGTGTTTCTTAATGTTGCTGAAAGGCAAAGAATAAAAGGATTCTTTGTGGTTTACGGATCATTAAAATGTGTTAAACTAAAATGACCTTAAATAAAATTACTTTATATGTTTGCAACAAATAGGGAATAGCATGAAATTATAGTTTTGGAACAAACAGAGTTTGAACCAAAAGACTCAATGTTTGGTTGTTGTTTTTTTTTTTAATTGCAAAGATAAAAGGCAGTAGTAGATAGGAAGGACTGAGAGGTGTAATGGTGTGCCATGAAAAGTTGACATGACAAATGAATAGGTCTATCTTTTTCTTTGAGAGAAAGATCTTTGTTCAAGCTCTGACATAAATGTGTCTAGTGCTGTTTATGCAATGCCAGAAAGACATTACTTAACTACACTTTTGGTTATGCCTCCTCCAATTTAATTAATGGAGCAGTGGTTGAAACGCCAGAGGTAAATTTTAGAACATGTCTATTGGGTAACTTTTGATAAGTGCGTACGCAAAACGTTTGAAAGGCATTACTATTTTCTTTTTTGTCTGTAGTAGATAATAATTGATATACTTGTGAAGCATTAGGCTTTCTGGATTGTGTAGAAGACTGGAGGAAAAGATAGTGTATGCCAGGCATCTCTGACTAGATTGGATAAAACCAGAACTGGATGAAACCCCACTCTCTTCTCCAACTTCAGAGCTCTTGTTGCAGTATTAGATTCTCAGTTTCTCTGCTGAGAGAGGAGAAAGAGCATGATTTGGTGTTTTTAACAGTGCAAGCAGAGTTTATAAATACATCAAGCAGTAAAATATATTTTGACAGGGGCTGTTGGGAAACTAAAATTCAGTGTATTAGAAAAGATGTATGGTTACTAAGCTGATTAACTCGTAACTCAGTATATCAGCAGAGAGAATACTTTCTCTGTGCTTGATGCTGACTTCATTTTCCGGCATGAAACTACTGCCAAGAAAGTTGTTTCAACAGTGAAATACTAGTTAATGGCTGAGACTGTTTGAAGGACAGCAGGTGCAGAATGAGCCGTCCAGTCTGTAAGTTTGAAAAGCATCTCAGAGTCTTACTTTCCTG